CTGATGCTGCTTGGCCTGCTATGTTCATCCAGCTCTACACCTTGTTACCACTGTACAATGCTCGTTTTTGTGTTAGAGTACAACAAACCCTCAGAGCAGAAAAATCCAAACACATCAAAAGTACAATTTTCAAACTATCTCAATACACTGGCATTTACATATGCTCCAAAGAGACTTGACTTTCACCATGTACATTCGCTGTTTTCATAGAAGAAATGAAGGAATATGAAGTTCCACAGTAAGCCAGGCAATCAAGATTATTTATCCATCAAAAGATCCCATTAACTTCTGATTCTATTAAACCCCAGTACCCAAAGATGCATAATTAGATCTTGTAAATAAATCAGTGTTCCAGAAACTAGGGACCTATGTCAAACACGTTTAAAACAAAAAAGATACAAGGAAGAAGTATTGTAATATTCCACATATCACAATGAAGGGATGTAGGTAATATATGGCGTAGGCATTTCACATCCATTTAAAGAACTCTAACCATAACACCAAAAATGAATAAACACATTCATGCGTCCTTTTTAATGATCATGATTCAAGTTCAGTGAGAAAGTGCAAGTGCAATTTGTAGCGATAAGGCAAATCACTTTCTCAGAATACATTCACGAGGTTGGTTCATATCAGTGCTTGTTAAATGGCCAATTCTCGAATTTAAAACTTTATAGACAGTAAATCTCACATATACGGATCGTTTCTGGACATGCTGTCTTTGATTCAAAGCTTGGTTTTTGGAAAACAATGGAAGCTCTCTCCATTTTGATAGCCTTGGAAACCCTTTACTTCGAGGAATGAAACAAATCTCTCACTCATCAAGTAACGACACTCTCTTGGCCCACAGTTTGGAGTTGCAGCACATTTCATGCAATTACTGTGAAACAGAGATGACCTTGCATTCTTCAGCTGACAAACTGCCTGCATTGTTGCTGCAAGTCCAAGTTGATACAGCATAGTGAGGGTTAATAAGGTATTTATGACCTGAGTGATGGTTTATAAGGTCTGTGTTCTCAGCACCTTGCTGTATGAAAGTGAAATGTGGACAAATTACAGCCACTAGAAAAGGCTAAATTCCACCTTCACTGTCAGCAAACACATTGTGGGTATATCCTGGCAAGACAAAATTACAAATATGGCCATCCCATCAAAGGCTGAGCCCTCAAGTACAGATGAGGAACTAGTGTTAACGTCAGAGGACTACATGGTCCAGGGGCCCAGGCTAACTCCCTGGAGACATAGGTTCAAACATCAGTGCAGCCATACTGGGGTGACTGGCCTCCTCTTGCTCTGAAACAATTCTGTGAAGTGTGTAGGCAATATTAAACGTGGGAACCTTCACTGGTTCAGGCACATCCACAGGATAGACAGCAGCTTCACACTGGAGGACATTCTGTCTGGTGAGGTGCTGGATGCAGATGACTAGTGAGATACCCCAAGGTCTGCTTCAAGGGTTCTTTGATAGAGGGTCGAGACCCGAAATGTCAGCTTTCCTGCTCGGCCTGCTGTGTTCATCCAGCTCTTGTTATTTCAAGGATTCTTCCATGTGTAACATGAGAATATTGAACATCAACTAGCACACCTGAATGTCACGAGCTGGTGATAGAAATGATGAAACTTTCTCTTTTGTGCCCGCATGCATTACCACATTAATGGCCACAGCAGCTTGGCAGCAAGTACTAATGTTGAAAACAGCCTCTGATGGTATCACATGGCAGTTTCGTGTGCTACACTTGCAACAGAACCTCTTTTTCAAAGACTGGCCTTCACAGCCAATCAGCAAATGTGCGCTAAGTGAAGATACTGCACCGAAGTAAATTGTTTGCTGCATTTTCATCGTTGTTCGCAGATGAGGAATGCCCACAAGCCCACAATGAGCTGAGTGAACAGGACAAAAAACAAGACTATCTTTTAACCATTGAGATTGGAGGATTGGTAAGAAAGAAAGGACTGATAAGAACTGTAAGTTAAAGGGGGATGAATTCACTGTCAATCAGGTACAGCAAAAGATAGATGGAAAGAAGGACTGGATTAAAGGAAAAAATACCATAAGGAAACGCAGGAAAAGGCATTTTAATTTAAAATGTAACATTTTTAAAACTTGAAAAAATAAGTAAAAACTTGTAATAGTTTAAGAGAAACAATTTTCCTCTATTCTGCAGATAATCATGATTATTGAGCCTTGTTTGCTCATTAGAACACAATAAAACAATTACTCTCAGGCAAAAGAATCTGAAGGTGTATATATATGACAAGAAAATACAAACGTGGCAACTTTTGGTCCAGTCTCTTTTCGGGTACTGACATACGTGTGGTTTGTCAATCTGATTAGGTATCTTTTCTGTATCTTGCAAAGCATAACAGTTATTAAAAAAAACCTTGAAAAATATTGTCACATTGTTTTAATCAGAATGTAGTCAGACCACATCCTCAGCACCAAGTCAAATAGTTGAAAGTTCAATCCCCACCCTGGAATTTGAAAACAAACTAGACTGACACTGCAATACACTGCTAAGGAGTGCTATATCATTGAAAGCATCATACTTCATTTGAGAAAATTCTGTGAAGGAGATTTAAAAGGAACCTAGGGGGCAACTTTTTCACATAGAGGGTGTTGCATATATGGAATGAACGATCAGATGAAGTGGTGAAGGCTGATACAATTACAACATTTAAAAGGCATCTGGATGGGTATATAACAGGAACAGCTTAGAGGGATATGGGCCAAGTGCTGGCAAGTGGGATTAGATTTATTTAGGATATCTATTTGGTATGGACGAGTTGGACTGAAGGGTCTGTTTCTGTGCTGTACATCTCTACGACACTTCAGAGGGAGTACTCTTTCTCTCTTAGCCAACATCTTTCCATCGACAGAGACAATCCAATTAGCTAGTTGTTTTTCTCACGTGGTTTGTGGGAAAGAGTGCACAAATTGTGTTTAGCTATAATACAGTAAGTCAGAAGAAATTCTTCACTGTCAAGTGCTTTAGGATGTTGAGGATGCAAAAGATGCTACATGAATGCAATTATTTGTGTTTCTAACATTGCAACATGAGAGTGCGTTCATAAAAGCAGCCAGTTAAAACAGATATTTTATTTAACTTGTCACATTATTAATACAGACTCAATAAACCAAATTGCAAACCTCCCTTTGTAACTACAGGAAACAAATCTACAATAAATACAGGAAGATTTTATTTCTGAACACTTTAAGAGCAGTGGGTTAAATCTCCAACACAATTAAAAATAAAATTGAGCTATTACAATTGTATGGCTGGGGAAAGTTAAATATTTTTCAATATTTTAAAGATGATAGCATTTGGGCAGAAGTTCCACAGCTTTTATGCACAATATTATCATGATTTAATTATTCACAGTGAATTGTAAATGAATGAGTTGAAATGGTTAGTCATACTGTCAATGCTCTACACTCTGCTCTGCAAAAACCGTTCATCACTTAATAGCAGGGTGCCTTTGTATCATCTAAGTTCACAGGGCTCCACCAGACATTTAGATGCAGCTAATATTCATACATAAATGATAAATGCCTAGTTTCTTTAGAAACGATAATGGGACGCTTTACATTATTTGTACAGAACAGACAGAAAATATAATTATGCTTTCTTGAAGTAAATGCTTAAGCACACTATTCATGCAGCATTGAAAATCAGTTATTCAATATCTGAAGCATTTCGTTCATTTCAAATAGTGTCAATAGATCAGAATACTTGTTTCAATTGACAATCTGAGGTGCTATGCCAAACAGACAAACTTGTAATTCTATACACTGGCATTAGTAATCTGATCACCCATGCCCTCCATATTAGGTAGCATTTGTTTCGCACTGGAAATGAGAAAAAGATTAAAATGGAAAAATATATACATGACTGCTTTACATATAGTGTGTAAACCTGTTAGCATACGTTGTTTTTGTTGAGCAGCTGCCATTCGTTAAAAGCACTACATCCTTGTATCCACTGTAAATACTGTTTTGAATGTTGATTTCTCTTAGTGTGGATCACAACACCTAAAAGGAGGTTGTAACAGTTGGGTTATTGAGGTAAGGCTGGTAAATTAATGGCAGTGTTCAAAGAAAAGCTGCTACTTAACAAAGTGTTACAGTGTTACACAATTAAGATGTTTCATAGCATTAATTTAGAATCACAAGCATGTTAAAAACCATACAAAAGAGTTTCAGATTGCAAGGGTCTACATTAAAAAAAAGCCCAAACATTAAAAAAAAATGCAGTGCAAAGCAAATCAGTGCATTTTGACAAAGCTACACTTTCACTCAGATTATAACCACAGAATCATACCTTATGCAACTGTAGAAAAAACTGCAGTAACAAATACTGCATTAGGATAGCACAAATGTCCTTTGTCAATAAAGGAACCAATAAGGAAGGCCTGTTATAACTTTTGTTCATTCACTGTGATATGACTAATACTGTTTTCCATAAACAACAGCTTTAAAGAATAGCAAGATATTTTATAGACTGGAAAGCTTTGCTGTAGAAAATCCGAGAATTCCCACAAAAACGTTTCATGATTATATCTATTAAGCAAAATTGGAAAGACAGGGTGCATGTAATAGAGAAGAATACCAAAAACCAACTTAATTTTTGTAGAATTCTGAGTATAGCTTCTAAATTTGATATGTTCCAAGAGAAAACAGATAACTATGATATTTTCTGTGACAGAAATATGAGGAAACAAGCACCGACTACAGGGACAATCTACGTAGAAGTAGAATATCTGTGCAGAAACATAGCTTAGTCAATCTTAAGATTTTCAGAAGCTATGATAGAAACTAGCACCCAATTCTCTGATCTGAATAAAAAAAAGTTATTTTGACTTTGCCAAATTTGATCTTAACTATTGCTAAATTTTTCTTAGTACTATCGAAATTTGACCTGTTAGAAGCAGGAAATAAAACTAAAACATCAGCTAGACATGATATTTCAAAACTTTATTTCCTTAACTTAAAATTACATCTAGTCTCATAGTGAAAACAAATGGCTAAATGTCTATTAACTGAAATGATGCATAGTTTGCGAAAATGGCTATCACCAGTAGCATTTCTGAAGTGTGCAAAATTAATTTGACAAAAAATATGGAGAAACAGAAATAAGCTATGGCTCAAGAAAGCAAAAAACATCCAGCCTTTGTTTAATAATTATTAAAATGATTAACCTTATTTAAGGCCAGAAGATTTGCAAATAAAGGTCACATTAAACATTGTATTTACAAAACTCCATGTACAAAATGATTTTACCCAATGTTAAGTTGTAGGTAGACTGCTGGTAATTAGAAATACTGTCCTTTCCATTAGTATGAGAATACCATTTCAGTAGAAGTTAAAGGAAGCAAAGTGTCCAACACTGCTTCGCATGGTGGCTGTTCCAGTAGACATCGGTCCCTTAGTTTACAACAACTCCATTAAGATTCATCTTCAGGATAATGGTGATTGTTGACATTTAGTGGGACTTGGTGGAAGACGAGCTGCAGCACTCTGTTCTGTTCTAAAGCTGTAATCATACTGGGAAGAAAATAAAAGTAATGAAACAAATTTTTGAAAATTTGAACGTGGATCAAATGGTAAGGTGAGTATCATGAAATTTTGATCATAAATGATAGAGGTCAGTAAACGTAATTTAGCAGGGCTAATGGTGTTTTAAAATATAATAGTTCAAATGTACTGCTAAATAGAGGAATTGTATTCACAAAAAGGCTATAGGTATTAGGTTTGCTTACATGGAACTTAGTATTCTTAATGGCTTAACCGTCAACCCTAAATTAACCAGAATATTTAAAAAATGTAACATTTCCTAGACAGTGGTTACTATATATAATGACGAACACTGGGAGACAACACATGCAGATAAAGTAAGTTGCAACACAAGACTAAAAAGTAAAGTCGCTATTGTCATACTGGACCACAGGGCTGCTCTCTCAGACAGAAAAAGAGACAGAGATGAACTGGTTGTGGTTTAACTGGAGGGTCACCATGCCTCAGGCGAGGGGAGAGATTGAGAAGGAGAATCCTTCATGGCAACATCAGCCAGTGTGGGAATTGAACCTATGCTGTTGGTATCACTTTGCATCGCAAACCAGCCAATTAAGCTGATGCGACTGATGCACACTAATCTGTCTGAAGTTTAGCTCTGTATTCTTGCAGCACAAGTCGACTTGGAAAAGGACATTAGTGAAGATGAAAGGCTTTCCTTCCGTGGTTGGGAAAGACAAAAAAAAGAGAAAAAAAGGAAAGGGCAAAGGAAATGTTTAAGCAATCATTATATTCAATTGTTTTAATTAATTCACCCCTTTTAAACCTATCTGGCTCAACATCTCAAGGCAAAACCTCAAAAGAAAACTAGTTGCGGCCAAATAGGGAAATTTCTGTTGAAAGGTTCTGGTAAATAACTATTAGCTGCCACCTGGTGGGGCACACATGAAGTACAAGCCCACTTTCAATTACTACAATACTTAAAGGCTCACTTTCAAGAACTGGACTACAGTTGATAAAGAAATTCAGCATTTACTGTCAGTCAAGAAAGTACAACAGTTTTATTCTAAAGTCATTCTAAGGCTTTACAGAAGTTATTTAATGTTCATTACACATTAACATAATAACATTAATACTCTGGTGGAATTTTCAAATACAGAATAGTGCAGCAGGGGTACAGGACTTTCAGTACATTTGGTTTGTGCTGGTGCTTTTGAAGAGCAATTCTTTTTTCCTACATGCATACAATCTTTTCCTTGAAGTGCTTAATTTAGTTTAGGAAAATTATATTTGAAAGGACCAGTATGACTAGTATAGATTTACAGTAGTTTTTGTCAGTATAGACTTGATGGGCTGAACAGACTCATCTGTACAATTCTGTGACCAACAGCCTATGCATTCCAAATCCTAGCCACTAAAGCGTATTTTCTTCATACCACCTCTGGCTATTTTGTCACTCATCTTAAATCTGTACTCTCTAGTCATCTTTGCAACAACAAAATAAATTTCATCTCTCTAAACCCTCGAAGATTTTAACACACATCTATTAAATCTCGTTTTAGGCTTCTCTTCTAAAGTCCAGTTGATCCATCTAACTACAATTATACTATAACTCTGTAACCTCTCTGGACTCACTCCAAAGCCCTCACGTCCTCTCAAAAGGACTGGCATTTGGGACACAATACTTTGGCTAAGGCCAAATTCCTTTTTTCTGAAGAGCAGTTAGCATCCTGTGAAATCCACACCTTAAAGAGCACAGCTGCCCATGTATCTTACAACTGCTCTGCTAACCATCTTTGAAGATTTGTACATAAAACACTCATTGCTTGTATTCTGACCCTCTTCTCTTTCCTCATTTTAAAATTGTACATCTAACTTGCAGTGCCTCTGTTCATCGTTCCTTCCAAAATGGAGGACTTCACGCTGTCCTGCATTAAATTTAACACATGAAATACAAATTAAGGACAGAAGTCGGCCATTGAAATACAAATTAAGGACAGAAGTCGGCCACTTTGTCTCTTCAGCCTGCTCTGCCAATCAATAAGATCATGACTGATCCAATTATTCCACATTCCTGCCCAGACCCGATAATATTTCACACCCTTGGTTACATCAATAATCTAATTACACCTGCCTTGAAAATACTCAGACTCTTTCCAACACCTTTTAAGGAAGTGTCTTCCAAAGACTCATGGTCCTCAGAAAATATCTCAACATCTGTCTTAAATGACCCCGAGCTCAAGATTCTCTCAAGAATAAACATCCTAACTTCAGTCAGTGCAAACCTAGCCTGTCCAAAAGAGTCAACCTGCCATTTTAGTGATTAATCTAGTAAAACATCTTCGAACAACTTCCAATGCATTTGTCCTTCCTTAAATAAGATGACCAATACAGTACACAGTATTCCAGATGTGGTCTAATGCCCTGTACAACAAACGTAAAATCCATATAACTTATTCAATTATTTTTGCAAAAATCATTTCATTTGCTTTCCTAATCACTTGCTGTACCTGCATATCAACTTTTGCTATATGATCGGTTTACCATTTAGACCGTTATGATTTTTTTTATTTGTCCTATCAAAATAATTTCACATCTTCCTGTATTATACTCTGTTTGCTAGACCTTTATCCGTATTGCATTGTAGCCTCTGTATTTCCTCCACACTACTTACTTTCCTACTTTTGTGCGATCAGAAAATTTAACAACCATACCTTCCTTCATCCAGACATTTATATGAACTTAAGAACTCAGTCTTGATTCCTGGAAAACACCACTTGCTAATCAGAAAATCAACTATTTCTGCCCACTCTTTCCTGTTAGCTAGCCAATCTCGTAGCCATTCCAATATATCCCTACATTTATTTTCTTTTATTTTCACCAACCTTTGATGAGCACCTTACCAAATGCCTTCTGAAATCTAAGCTTCGTGCATTCAAGTATTCTTTTTTATAGGCAGCGCAAGCTACTTTCTTGAAGAATACTCAAATTGGTTAAACATGACCTCCCTTTCACAAAACCAAGTTGACTTTGACTGATTACCTTGAAGTTTAAGTGCTCTGCTATAATTCCTTTAATTACAGCTTCTGAAGTTTCTAATTTTAATTTGCAACTGCCCTCTTATGCCATCTGTCTGCATGCTTGAAATCTATTAGCATCTTTCTCATTGTTTCATATAACAACCAAGTTTCAAGTCACCTGTACATTCAAAACTGTGCCCTGCCATGTGTCCCCAAATCCAAATCATTAACATTAAGAACGAACAGCGGTAGTTCTTATACTGAACCTTGGGAAACATCAACATATACCTCCGTCCAAGCCTAAATAGCAGCCGTTCACCATATTAGTTTATATGACTGAGCCAATTCAGTATCCACGCTGCTCCATCCCACAGGCTTCAATCTGACTGACAAGCCTAATGTGGTTATTTATTGTTGGCATTTTTAAAATCTATGTACAACCGCAAAAGTCTTCATTCATCCTCTCTAGCACTTTACCAAAAAGCACAATCAAACCATAACAAAGCTGGCTCTATGCTTTTCTAATTGGCTTTGATCAATGATGCTAAAAGCTCTTCCCAGATGTTAAACTGACTGACTTATTACAGCCAGTTGTATCCTTTGCCCTGTTTTGAAAGACTTTAACGAGTAGAGTCCTCATCTACCAACTGCATATCTTGGGAGGACTGGAAGACCGTAGCCAGCCCCTCTATAACTTCCACCCTTACTCCTGCCAGCAACACTGTCACGTTATTGAGACAGAGGGACATATCCATTTTAAGTACTGTCAGCCTTTCTAGTATCTCCTATGTACAATGTAATACATTCACCAGAGTTTTAAAAAAGTTAAGAAAACCTCTGTTATAATGCATTCTTGCCAGCAAAGAATTTCTAATCTCATCAAATAGCATTCTATCATTTCTTTACTATTAGAATGTATTCTTGTTTTAAGAATGTCAGAAAAATAAAGCATATCAACAGATATATTAATATTGATATGAAAATGAACATTTCACAAATAACATTCTAAAATCTGGCGTTGCTTTTATTTGCAAATAAAGAATGAATCCCAACGTTTTGAATTGTGAAGAATATGTAGTTACAATGCGGTTATTGACTTCCTTGCCAAGCTGTCAACAACCCCACCAACAACCCGAGCTACAAATCTTCTCAAAAACCATGCAGTTACAATATTACATATGTTGTAAAGAAAGCTCCTTGGTCTTCCAAATGGACACAAAAAAACTGACAAAAATGGCTACCAGATGTCACATGATGACATTTGTGGATTCAACCGGTATTGCAACCAGACTATATTCTTCAACAAGAAATCACAACAGACTCTTTGAAATTGAATGAACATTTCCAGGATAAACTGAAACTTGACTCCTCGAGGTATAAACAGCTCTCATTTTACAAATAACCTGACAGGCAGAGTTATCTAAGCTACCTTGATTGAAAACAACTATGGGGTCTATCTTAGACCTATGCTAACCCAATACCTATTATGGAAGCATGACTCATTAGTTTTGGGGTAATAGTTGTTTTAGTTTTGATTTGTATATGTCTGGCCATTACCAACTATTTTGTGCAGAGATCTTGACAGAAACATCTTTAGGCAGTCACTAATTTTTAACTGAGCAAGAGGAGGACGTTCAGAACTGCTGAAATGAACCAGGTTACCGAGAGCTGCAAGCCGACATGCCATAAAACTGAAACAATGAAGCCTTCACTCACTCCCAAGACCTGTTTGAACAATCTCCAACCATCTGACTACAGAAGCCATTACAACTGCTGAATTTGACTTCAAATTTTCGATCCCTTTGTTTCAGGAAGCAAGTTTTCAAGCAAACAAGACTTACAATGATAGTAGAGACTGATGTCATTTTCAACTTGCGCAACTTTTATCCTTACTAACATCTTTATATCTATATTTTAACAAATAACTATTACCCTTTCCTTATGTAACGTGTAATAAACTAATCTTTTATCTTTCTGAAAACATAAACCTGTGCAGCTGCTTTGTAAAACAAT